AATTGAACTAGAATAAAAGAAAGACACAATGGAATTGGTTCTTCTATCTTGTCCAAGTAGCTTCAGAAATGCACACTTGAATCTCACATAAATCGCTTGCAAAATTGCCTAGCTCTTTTTCTCTCAATTTAGTTTAACTTCTGCGTATGTACAACACCTGTAAAAGAGAACAATCATAGTTATTTAAAGAGTTAGTAATCAGAGTTTGATTGAGACTCAATTGCTGATCCTTCGTCGAATTTGAGTCCTAGAACAATACAAACTCCAACCTTATTCTTGATCCGGATTTAGTTCTCTTCACATAAGGAGACTCTATCTCCTTATCCTTTATGCAACCTTTTCGATCAGTTCAGAAGATATTGTTGCTGATCCTTGAGACTTATCTTCTTCACGTGCATCTCACACGTATAGGTAGATAACCACTGTGTATCACATGATGGACCTGTTCCATGACTGAGTTCATTTTGTCATTCTTCAAAACTTCATCTGAACTTGGGCCAACAAATTCCCCCTTTTTGATGATGACAAACTCTGTGCTTTTACTGATCAGAGAACCTGTGGAGCTCAGCTTAATTATCAGCACTTGAACTTAGAAGTCTTAACTTATCATTAAGGACCAGGTTTAATCAGGTTATAAATATCACTGTATTTCATAATACAAAGTAAAGCACAATATCTCTTCCCCCTTTTGGCATCATCGAAAAGTTGCATATAATGTGAATCCCAGATTTTAATTAATACTCATGGCCACTGGGGAAACTGCAACTGAAAACATGATTCAGTTAATCAATAATCAACTTTGACAAAAATTTAACTATTAAGATCAGAAGCTACATAGATCAAGAGAAAAAGTGCATTGTCATTGATTAGGAAATGTTTCTACAAAGCAGACCACAAAAAGAAAGAAAAAACATCCAACCATGAGCAACAAAAACAAAGAAAAGTCTCGAATTTGGGTCACTGGGGGGTTAGACTGGTTCAAAGATAGGAACTGGAAAGCCTAAGGCTTGGAGGAACTAGAGGGTTGGGATTGGAGAAGATTGATCATGGTCTGAAGCATCCCTTCACTCTTTTCCTTTTCCTTTGCTAGCTCATCTTTGAGGTCATTTCTCTCATTTTCCAGTTCAGCAATACGAGCCTGTAGCCTAGCAATTTCTGCATCTTTTATTCCGCATTCTTGAACCAATGCCCTAATCTTGCTGTTCACAGGAGTCTACAGAGATGAACCAGGTTCAACTGGGGTAGCATTCATTGGATAGTCACAAGCCATAAGAGTCTTGACACCAAAGTGCTCCTTGCTTGATGCCATTTCCCACTTCTTCAAAGGCACATTTAGCCTTTCCAAAACAGTAGTCAATAGGAACCCATATGGTGTGGCATGAGCTTTGGAGCCATTGATGACTTGATCCAGTAGTTTGACAATAAAAGCAGGCCAGTTTATTTGTATCCCTCTCACAAGGCACTCCATGAGGACCAAGTCCATGTAATTGGCAGTGTGCCTTCTCTCCTGCCTTGGCAGCAAGCATTTGTTCACAAACTCAAATAGCACCTTGTGCTCAGCCCTCATCTCACTCTTCTGAACAAACCTGGCTTCAGGCACATCTTCAGCAGTTGCAGAATCACAAAAGTTCCTGGTGATTTAGAGTGCAGTAGGAAGAGAATCCAGACAAGGCCACCTTTGCCTAGTATAATCATCATATCCCACACTGGGAATGTCTAGAATCTCACCCAATTTAGGTGCATCAAACTGCACCTTTACTCCTTTCACCATGCTGGTGACAACCCTATTCTTGACAGTGGCATTGGCCATGAACTCAATCAGCTCCTTCCTGGCCAGTTTCCCTTCCAATTGAAGGACCATGTCCTTCCATCCTTGTGCATCTAGGGCATCCACCAATCTTATCATGCCTGGATCCTCCAGGTCTTTCAACAACCTGCCTTTTAAGATCTTTCTCCTGCCAAAGATGGCAAATCTATCCTGCTCTTTCTCAGACTCCTCCTCTTCTTCTTCCCCACTCCATTCTTCTTCTTCAATAATTTTCTTTTGTTTTCCCTTCACAGAAGATCTAGTTCTTTTAGCCAACGAGGGCTCAGCAGATACAGGTACAGAGGATGACTTCTTGGTCGAAGTCTTGGAACTCTTTAGTTTGGGTGATGGAACCTTTTCAGTTGTTCCTCTTTCTTGATGGACCACATCCATCTCTTCTTCTTCTTCTTCTTATACAAACTCAACACTCTCTACAACTTTTGCCTTTCCTTTTTCCCTCTTTTTCTTCATGCTTTCTTCTAGTGCTTTCTGCAACTCTTCCTCACTTTGTTTGACCCTGCTTCTAGTTGCTCTTCCCTTTGAAGGGACAGTAGACTTAGGAGATGACACTTTGCTTTTCTTTGCTGGCTTGGAAGCAGTTGGAGCTTTTAAAGAAAAAGCCTTGCGCTTCTTTGGATCATAGCTGGCCCCAACCTTCTTCAAGATGTCAGCTAGGGTTTCTTCAACAAATGAACTAGGTTCATCTTGTTGTTCATTCAGATGAACAAGACCTTCAGCAGCCTCACCGGAGCCACTTCCCCCTGACTTGGTGCCACTTTCCTCTACCCCTCCACATATTGCAAGTATTTTGTCTTTCTTTTTCTTTCCCCTTCTACTAGACTCAGCCTCCTTCATATCTTTCACAGAACCAACCAACACAACCCTATTCTCCACTATTTCTACCACATCAGAAAACACAAAACAGGTATTTACCTCACCAGGGGTTTCTTGATTTTTGTCAGTGTCAGAAGACCCACGTTCCTCTCCTTCGCTTGCAGAGATAAATGTTTCAGACTCAAAACTTGAGTCAGATTCTTTAGCAGGGCTCTCTTTCATCTGGCTAGCTCTCAACTTTTCATTTAGGGCTGTTTTCAGAGAACCAGTAGCTACAGTTTTTCTTGCTAACATTTTCTGCCTGCGAAACCTGGGTTTGGGGGTTTCACTAGGGGGTGTAGATGAGGATGTATTTGAGGGAGACACTGGTGGGGGAGTTTCAGGGTTATCTTGAGGGTTTGTCATGGTGAAGGATTTCTGGAGAACTTTGGGAATTTTTGAAATTTTGAAGAGAAGGAGGATGATCAGAACTTGGGAGAGATTAATGACGGTTATGGACTAAAAGGGAGTATGTGGAGTGTATTTAAAGATGATTATGATGAAGTGCAGTAACGGCAGCCTTTTTGCAGTAGTCAATAAGGAGTCTAATCACTTTAGAACTCCAGTCACTTAGTGATTAATAGGCGACGCTAGTTTTTAGGCAAGAATCCCGTTTTCCTTAGAATTCTAGGAGAATAAAACTGGTTCAATGCTCAACGGATATAATTTTTGGGAGTTTGGTGGCAATAGGACTTCTGCTCATGATTGGAAAATTAATCTTTCTAATTGTGCAAAGTATAGAAACATACCTGAACTTTCTCATGAGCTTATATTGATGAACCGGGTTCTTCAAGTAGAACTTCTCTTGATTATGCCTCAAATGTCAGAATAGAAAAAATTTTGTAAGGGATCAGTGAATTAATATAAAACATGTCACAGGAGTATACTGATTAGAGTATGAGACTGAGTAAGAATTAATTTAGATATTTACATAAAGTCAGAACTTCTAACCAAATTTTTTTTTTCATTCATTTTTTTTCATTGCATTCTGAACTGATTCTTTTAGGTGATCTTAATCATGCCTAATTCCAATCTGTTCCTCTCAAAGTTTTTCCTATTCAGTGCTTTAGTGAAGATGTCAGCTATTTGTTTATCAGTAGCACATAATTCTATTGAGATTAATCCTTTCTCATAGTTATCTCTTAAGAAGTGGGGTCTAACATCTATGTGCTTGGTTCTTTTATGATGAACAGGGTTCTTTGTCATACTTATAGCACTAGTGTTATCACAAAATATTGGTATACATCCCACTTCAATTCCAAAATCTACCAATTGTTGTTTGATCCATAGCAATTGAGCACAACAAGAAGCTGCAGCCACATATTCAGCTTCAGCAGTTGATAAGGCCACTGAATTTTGCTTTTTGGTAGCCCATGAAACAAGACATGAACCAAGGAACTGTGTCATACCAGAGGTGCTTTTTCTATCCACTGGGAAACCTGCATAATCAGCATCAGCATATCCTACTAGATTGAAATTACTACCTTTAGGGTACCAAAGACACAATTCAGTAGTGCCTTTGAGATATCTCAATATCCTCTTGACAGCAGTCAAGTGAGACTCTTTTGTATTTGCCTGAAAACGAGCACAAAGTCCTACACTGAAAACAATGTCAAGTCTGCTGGCAGTAAGATACAGGAGTGAACCAATCATACCCCTATACAACTTCTGATCAACTGATGAACCAGGTTCATCAACATCTAATTTAGTGGAAGTTGCAATAAGTGTATCTATTTCTTTAGAATCCTCCATTTTAAACTTTTTGATTAGTTCTTTTGTATACTTCTGCTGATGAATCATGGTTCCATTTTGACTTTGTTTGATCTGCAGCCCTAGGAAGAAGTTAAGCTCACCCATCATGCTCATTTCAAACTCACTCCCCATTAATTTTGCAAAGTCCTTACTTAACTTATCAGTGGTGGCCCCAAAGATTATGTCATCAACATAGATTTGCACAACAAGGTGATCCTTACCTTTTTCCCTTAAGAATAAGGTACTATCAATTTTACCTCTTTTGTAACAAATTGAATTAGAAACAAATTGAATTGAAAGTCATCAAACTTACCCTTAAACTGCATACTGACTTGTTGTGACCAACCTGATGGCAAATTGAACAGGACATCTTAGCACCCTTCTTTGAAAGTTTTCCCCACTTCTTTGGTTCATCCTTGTCCTTTCTTCTGCATTTTTTTGGCCTACCAGGCATTGGTTTAACTTCAGGAGGCTCAATTGGTGGATTGGTAGACTCAGCCCACATTTGTATGCTTGGAATTGGCTGAATATAGTATTGGTAAGCAGCCAGGAAAGTATCTTTCCTATACTAGTGTTCAACATAGTCTTCTGCTTCCTTCCCAATCTTATTAAAGGCACATATTGCATGTTGACATGGTATACCTCTTAACCGCCATAACCTGCAGCTGTATTCTCTTTTTTGTATATCAACAGTGTGCCTATACATGCCTTCATTCACTTCAAATCCAGTGTCAGCATTCCACTGTACTTTTAACTTCCTTCCTATTTCCTTGTTCTCCTCTAAAACTAGTCTTGCCATAGGTGATATATCAGAAGCCCATGTTTCAACAAACTTGATCATATCAACTTTCCTACTCATCATTTTGTGCCTAATTTCTTCAAGCATAGTGATGACAGATTTACGCCTAGGACTTAATATCCAGGAATTAAATGTTTCACACATGTTATTTTCTACAATATCACATCTAACATTCTCATTGAAATAAGCCCTACACCAGTATTCTTTATCATAGGACAGTAAACTTTCACAAATACCATTACCTAATTCATCCAATTTCTTCATTTCTTCTCTTAATTTTACCTGAAATGGAGCCTTAGCACATCTCCAAAACTGCTTCCTTCTTTCCTCTCCCCTCTAAGTTTTCTGCCAGTTTGCCCAAATGTGTCTTGCACACATTCTTCTTTCAGCAAAGGGTAGCAAATCAGCAACAGCAGATGACAGTCCCTAATCAATACAACAGCAGCATAGAATGTTAGTGAGATGACAATCCAGAAGTAAGAACAATAATGGTAAGAAACAAACAACATAATAAATGGATTACAGTACCTTTTGCATGTCAGACATTACTGTTAAATCTTCACCATTCCTCAACTCTAAATCAGTTTTGAGATAGTTGATGAACCAACTCCATGAATGTGTAGTCTCTTGATCTACCAAAGCCCAAGAAATGGGATACATCTGATTGTTTCCATTTTTTCCAACAGCCACTAACAATTCACCTTTGCAGACTCCCTTTAGGAAACAGCCATCAAAACCTATTATTCTTCTACAACCTGCTATCCATCCCTTCTTCATAGCCTCAAAGAATACATAAAAGTATTTAAATAGATGTTTTCCAGGAACTGTTTCTGTATCAGTTCTCACCCAACATGAACTTCCAGGATTGGTGGACTTAATCATGTCAGCATAGTCCAGCAACCTAGAAAATTCAAGGTTCCAGTCACCCATAAACTGACTAATTACATTCATCTTGGCTCTATATACAAGTGATCTTCCTACATACAAACCCCATTTAACCCTTATAACCTCTTGCAACTCATGAACTGTGATGTATTTACTTCAATATCCTCATCAGCATTTACTCCAATACCCTCCTCACAATTTACTCCAATGCCATCATCAGTATTTACTCCATTGCCCTCATCAGTTGTTACTCCAATACCCTCATTACAATTTACACCAATACCCTCATCAACTTTTAAATCAGCCCCCTCACCAACATCTACACTAGCCCCTAGACCACCCCTAATTTCTGTAGCCTGGTCACTATCACCAACTTGTGAGGAAGGTAAATATCCCACAACTACATCCTCTTCCACAACCTCTAAATTATCTATTGCATGACTCACACAGACATCAAAGCGATCCCCATCCTTTAGGTCTTTAATCAAATTTAGTAGTTGGTAGTCATTTTCATTTGGAAAGAACTTCTGAGTTTTAGGAAATAGAACAAATAACCCACCAACAGAGTTGTAGCGCATTTCAGGGGTCTCTTTTATGTAGGACACAAGCTCGGGCAAAGAGAAATGGTCTTTGTCCACCACATGCCCTATTTCTTCACCCTCCCCCACATACTTTTCATCAATAAAGTATCCCCCATGATGAAAAATAACACCAATATATTCGTCCATGTGACTTTATACTGAAAATGACAAAACACAACCAGTCAATATTCCCCGACATTTTCTGATTTTCAAAACAAAAAAAAACCCTAATCTAATAGCACCATAACAGAACCAGTTGTGATAAAATAGAAAAAAGCAATAATAAAATATAAACATACCTTTATGCAATAATCGAAGCCTTTACAGCTGACTCCCCTTTTCACAAAAGATCCACTGCCAAAACCTTAAAATGGCCTTCCTTCAGGTAATAAATCTTGAACCAACTTAAAATTCGAACAAAGAACAGCTAATCATACTTAGTAAGTGAAAGAAATCTTTAATTTTGTAACAAAAATGCCGATTGAACCAAGCTTAACCGAAGAGATGAAGGGTTAGTCGGTGAGAGAGAGAGAGGGACTAGACGGAAGTAACGATGAAGATTTAACATTAAGTTTTATGTTTCTAATTCTTTATTTCTTATTGTTTTTCCACGTGTCAGCTTCTAATTTGTTCTTATAAAAGACACCGGTAAGTGTAATACACGCGATGGGGACTGGTGAGGTCGGGTGTTTATAGAGTTCAGTTTTTAAAACGTGATATGTTTAAGTGAAACATGGCTCGGTTGAGGTGTTCAACTGACCGTTGTGGACAACTTGAAGGGGCTATTTATGTATTTCGCCTTTTTTTTTGGTCGTCAAAAAAGATGATGTTGAACTCGGTGTTTTCGTAATTAAGCACTAAAATCATTTTTTGAGTAATGTTGAATTGATTTGTATAGTCAGTATTGTTTGAGCCAAATAGATCATCGGTCGGGTAGATATTTAGTGGGCCTCACAATGACATTAAACTTTAGAATTGTACTTCAACCATAGATCCTTCATAACAACTAGGCTTAATCATTTTATTACTTTATTTAATTAATTAGTCATAGGATCACGCTTAAGCCGAAATACTTTGGTAGACAAACTTTAGGATTTTATATTAGTTTTGAGGCGAGAGGTTGTTCGCTTAGTTAAATTTATCCGGGCAATGCCCTGAAGGATTTGTACATATCTTATTCCAGGGAATGCCCCGTAGTATCATGTATTTGGAGGCCATGACGAGCTTCGAGGAAAAGTATAGTATATATTAGGATTTAGGATTTTACTTTATTTTCTTATTTCATTTTCTTTTGGTTAGGTAGGGACGACCTCGATCCTCTAGTGTGTTTATTTTTCTTTTCTGTGTTTTTACCTCAATTTGAATATTTTAAAAGCCAACTAGATCGGGTACGCAACCGTACTAGTTACGGGACTCGGGGAATGCCTAACCTGAATCTCTAGTGCAGACTTAGTTTTGGAGTCCAAATGTATTTCCAAGGAAAATTGTTATTTTGAAAACGGTGACCTGGCACATCGAAACCAATGTCAGGTGGCGACTCTGAGTTAATCCTTTGAACACAATTTTTTGTCACTTTTTAGTTGAAAACTTTTTTTATCATATCGTTTGGAAAATGTTGTTCATGTTGTATCCGACCATGACCTTCCCCACTGAGCCCTTCTAGAGCAATGCGGACACTGTCCCATGGAGATGAAATAGGAACTTTCCAAGTCCTATTTTGCAAACTGTAAAAGTGGTCTATTTCCAAAAACCTATCTCAGCAAGGCTAGCCCGTTCCTGGCGCACTCCCTCCAGGCTCGCCTGAAGCCCACTCAACTCCTCTCCCTTTCGGGCAGAGGAGGCCTTCGACTCTTTTAGCTCCGAGGTGAGCTTCTCAAGCTCCTTCCCACAGCATGAAAGCTCATCTTGAAGCTTAGAAAAGGCATGGTCATACAATTTCTTGACCTACAATAAAAGCAGAAGAGTTAGAAAGACAAGGGAAAAACTTGAATTGCAAATGATATGTCGAAAATATTACTTGATGTTGAAGCTTCTCGGCCTCATCAAGAGCGACCGGGGCATCGAGGTCTGTGTCCACGTCGATGCCGATAAAGTAGTCCTTGAGCATATATTCCTCTCCATGAGAGGCCCCCCACACAGGCGGTACCCGGGTCCTGGGCATCCCTAATTTCCCTCGGTGAAAATGAAGGGCCCAATTTAAATCCACCCAGGGCATCAATTTCTGTAAGGGTTTCGTCTCGACCCTGAAAAGCTTCAGGTTCAGGCCCTCCAGAATCGCCAGTCGAGGTTTCATCGGTGCAGACTGTACCATGTTTGACTTGAAGCTTGGGGACTGTGCCCAAACCCTCTTCGAGGGTCTCCTTAGCACGGGTTAGGTCCACATCGGACATCTTCGACTCGGCGTCCTTGCGCCCAATAGCCTGTGGAGCATCCGCACCCCGTCTTGCCCTTTGTACCAAAGGGAGATCATCATCATCATCACCTTCGTCTTCAGTATGGGGACTTGCCACAGCAGCCGAAGTCGAGACCGCGGCGTCGGTCAAAGCCTGTAAACTTTGGATTTTTCTGATTTAGGAGACTCGGCCAATCCTCCTTCTTCCTTTTCTTACCCTTGTCGGGTTTCAAGGTTCCTTCTTCACCGTGGGGAGATGGTCTCATCGACACGCCCTCCCCAAGGCCTAGATAAGCATGATGTATCAAACTCACCCACCACAAAGAATACTCTTAAGGAACCTGGTAAAGATTACGGTAAAAAGCATACCGTGGTTCTTGGCCTGCCACCGCGTTCTGGCCAAATCAAGCCAAGCACGTTCATTGTAGAAGGGGGATTTTCGATGAAAAAATCAGAGACTGTATCGAATTCGCCAGGGATACATTGCTCTATAGTTGGAGGTACTTTTGGTTTTCCCCTGGACGGGCATGACAAAGAAGTGGTGCCTTCTTTCTGAGGTACCATTCTAGAGGTTCTAGCCATAACTATAAAAAAGATTTCAAAAAGAGAAGATGAAGAAGCAAGCACGGAAAGAAGATGAATGCAGAAAGTTGTGAACTCAGCCCTAAAAACTTGAAAACGTTGTAAAAGTGTGAATGGCAAGACAAATTGAAGTATTTATAAAATCCATTTAAGCAATGTTTGGGAAGCGAAAGAGTCGAGTCAATAGCGGTTTGTGGTCTTCTCGATAATCGTGTTGACAGCGACCTCTGCGTAACCTTTGAGTCATGTCATCTAATGCTCTGATGGGATGACATCATAATGGGAGTATCGAGGAGGCAAAAATTCAAGACCGTTTCATATCATTTCACTCTAAGAAACGCGAGGACTATCTGTATACAACTAAAATCGGGGAGTTCGATTTTATGATCATTATGGCATTTCACGACCCGTCTTCAAAAGTCTCGAAGCATAGCTCGTGGTTCGACCCCGGGAGTTCTCAATGCTCAACCTCGGGGCAACGCAAATCGATGGTTATCTTATACAAGCGGGAAATTCTCAAAAGGCACGTGGTTAAAGCTGACCGGGTCTATAAGAACAGTACAAGTCCGTACTGTGACATAAAACAGCTGTACCAACTGCGTATCTTTGTAATAAATGCATATGTAATATGTTGGGATTCCCCCTCCTATAAAAAGGGGACCCTTGTTATTTCTTGCACGCAAGATATTGAATACAAGAACAAGAACATTCTCTGCTCCTAACTTAAACATATTCTCCCTTGATTTTGTTGCTTATATTTATCACATTGCTTATATTTATGTGTTTCATTGATTGTTCTTTATTTATTACTCATCATTGATCATAAAGAGCTCTCATCAAAGCTCTTAGAAATGTTAGTCCTTCATCGGCTACCCACAGTCTCACGCTTTAGCTCGACCTCGAGGTCCAGTACAGGCTAGTTCGAGGCCTCGATTCTCAGTCACTTGGTTTGCTTGTCAGACGACCTCCAAGCTCTTATCTTATTTTCTAGTCTCACACTTAGCATCTACTGCCTAACAACTAGCATAAAAATAAATCACATATTTTTAGAACCACAAAATCAAATCTAATTGTAATTACCATTTTCAAGGTAAACAGAGAGAAATGACGGAAAAGAAAAATGTGAAAGACATTTCCCTTCTTAATTACCATAATTTGCTCACCACCAAACGTAATATTATATTTTTTTTTATGTATCTGTCTTCTTATTCTTTTTCATTATCAAAGTTCATATCTTTTTAAAACCATCTTAACTTACAAAAGCTTTAAAAATGAACCTTTAACGGTTTTTCATTGTATAAATATGAAATATATTATATATAATCTGTCAATACAATGCTCCTCATTTGGTACAAAAATACAAAAATGTGGTTACTAGCATTGAGTACTTTAGCATATTGATTCATTTGCAACCATGAACCTGCAAGATCATTATAAAAATGTTATTTACTATACAATTAAATAAGATCAATATAAATTTTTATCATTAAGAAGATGTTTGAAAATGCTTAAAAGATTGTCGGTTCAACTTAAAATACTTTATGACTTGTTTTAGTGTTTGATAAACTTAAAAAGTAATTTTAAGACAAATGCTTTTAAGCTAAAATAATTATAAACAAACTAAAAATTTTAATTTTCTCATCTCAGTTTATTGATTTGATTATAGAGAAGATCGAAATTGGTATACGCTAATTGCTTCTCTATTTTTTTTTGGGGGGGGGGGGGGGGGTGGATTTCTTAATAAGTTTTAGTTTTTAGTTTTCGCAATTCGAATTTTCATGTATATTTTCCTTAAGGCCATGTGCCTGAATAAATTATACTAAGATTGTGCAGTTCTCTAATAAAATTCAGTTAATATAAAAATAATATTTTGGACAAACTAACATAATTACTGTTCAAAGAGATAATTATAACTTAGCTAGTATATGTGTTGTTATCAAAATATGTTTTGCAACTTGAAGTTGAAGATGTGCTAGAACTTGGATGCATACTTGGAAATCAACAGTTATTTTCTTAATTATATCAAAATTTTGCTCCATTTATGCATTTTAGTTACAAAGTATTGCTAAATTATAATTACTAATGGTTTTTTAAATAACCAAAATAATTCAAAACGGTTTTTTGATTAATACCCATGAGAAAACGATGTTTAAGGACAAATTTTGGTTTGGGA